GGGCCATGCTATCTCTGCTGAGGGAGTGATGGCAGATCCATCTAAGGTAGAAGCAGTACGTGCTTGGCCTACACCTAAAACTCAGACTGAGGTGAGGAGTTTTGTAGGTTTAGCCTCTTATTATAGAAGATTTATTAAAGGGTTTGCTGAGATTGCTCGTCCTCTTCATCAGCTCACCGAAAAGGGAAAAAGATTTTGTTGGGGGGAACAGTGTCAGGAGGCCTTTCAGCAATTAAAAGCAAGTCTGACTGTTGCTCCTGTTTTGGCCTATCCAGATCCTAAAAAGTCATTTATTTTAGACACTGATGCCAGTGATGTAGGAATTGGGGCTGTATTGTCTCAAGAGGATGGGGGTTTGGAGCGGGTGGTGGCATATGCTAGTAGAGCTTTGACTAAACAAGAAAGGAAGTATGCCACTACAAAGAAGGAGCTTCTTAGTGTGGTAACTTTTACAAAGCACTTTAGACATTACTTGCTCGGGAGGGAGTTTTTGCTGAGAACTGATCATAGTTCATTGCGTTGGCTGCATAATTTCAGTGGGTTGGAGGGGCAGTTGGCTCGCTGGGTGGAGCAACTGGCCAACTTCCAATATACAATTATTCATAGGCCGGGGAAGCAGCATGCCAATGCTGATGCCCTCTCAAGGCTCCCAGGATCTGGGGGTGGAGGCATTAGGGAGGGAGGTGATAATTTCTCTCAGGTTAAGGCGCAAGTGACCGTAGTTCGAGCAGTGAGTGAGGCTGAAGTAATGGGGGGTCTCAGAAGAGATATTCAGGAAAGCACAGATGATTTGGTTAGGGCTCAGCGAGAGGACCCAAATATTCAGCTGCTGATTCAGTTAAAAAATGGCTTGGGGGATAGCCGTAGGGAAGCTGAACTTAACCCTGCTCTTGTTAAGTATTTGCCATTATGGGATCAATTGCAGGTGCAAAATCAGCGGTTGGTGAGGATACCTCCAGCAAATTCTGATGCTGCTTCTGCAGTGCAGGTGGTTTTACCTAGCAGTCTGGTTCCAGGAGTGTTGTCCATGTTGCATAATATACCCACTGGGGGGCATTTAGGTATTCAGAAGTTACAAGCTAAGGTGAAGGATCGTTTTTATTGGCCTGGGTGGTTTGGGGATGTAAAAAAATGGTGTAGGGAGTGTCATGATTGTGCATCTCGCAAGGCTAATGGAAAGGCTCCTTGTGCCCCTCTTCAGATGTCTGTTGCATCCCGCCCATATGAGCGTGTGGCTGTAGACATTCTGGGTCCATTACCAGAGACTTTAAATCAAAATAAGTATATTTTGGTTATTGGTGACTATTTTTCCAAATGGACTGAAGCATTCCCTCTGCCTAATCAAAAGGCTCCATCTATTGCTAGAGTGTTGGTGGAGGAGTGGGTGTGCCGGTATGGAGTGCCTCTGAGTTTACATTCTGATCAGGGGAGAAACTTCGAGTCTAGTTTATTTAAAGAGTTGTGTAGATTGTTGCAAATAAACAAGTCTCGTACTTCTCCCTATTGTCCTCAGTCTGACGGGCTAATAGAACGGTTTAATCGTACTCTATTGTCAATGCTCTCATTGTTTGTGGATGAAAACCAGTTGAACTGGGATAGGTTGCTGCCATACGTGATGATGGCCTATCGTAGTAGTTTGCAGGCAAGTACCGGGTTTACACCGTATAAGGTGTTATTCGGGCAGGAAATGGTCCTTCCAGTGGATATTATGTTGGGGGTAGATAATATGCAGAAATTTCAGTCTGTAAATGAATATGTGACTGGAATAGCGGAAAGTTTATCTACAGTAGTAGAAGCAGTAAAAAGGCATCAGTATCAAGCTTCTCAGCGACAAAAGACATGTGCTGATTTTCGAGCAAATTTCCACTACTATGTAGTTGGTGAATTAGTTTGGATTCAAAATAAAGCTCGTAAACGGGGCGTGTGCCCTAAGTTGCAGAGACGCTTTAAGGGGCCATTTAAAATCATAGAAAGGGTGTCTGATGTGCTCTATAGAGTGCAGCTATCAGAGGGGGGTTCTGAGAGTGTTGTGCATTTCAACCGAATGAAGCCTTATGTTGCTTGTTCTGTTTCAGAGTCGGTGGGGCAGGATAACCCAATAACCCCTGAGAAACAGACTGCTAAACGACATCCCGAGGTCCAAAGCCGTGCAGAGGAAGAATATAAATTTGTATGGGGGTATCATCAACCTGCTGCTCCAGAGGCTGCCCAGACAAGGGAGAGGGCTGTTGCATCCAGTATCGAAAGAAATCAGAGATCAGAGTCTGCTGTGGAAGGTGGGCTTTCTGGTGGAAATTTACATCCTGTTGCTGTGGACACTGGTTCGGGTGAGGTGCAGCAGGAGAGTGGGGACCAGAGGATGGAAGCTAGAGGCTCCCTTCCAGAGCCATGTCCACAAAGGATTCAGCCAGCTCGTTCTTGGAGACCACCAGCTTGGAGCAGGGATTATAATTTGATGTGACTCGAGGACGAGTCCGGTCTATCCGAGGGGAGGGGATAGTGTGATGAACACTGGGGGATTTCTTTTCTTAGTTGGGCGTTGGCCCCGCCTATAGGAACCTTTTTGCAGCATGTTCTCTTCTGATTGACTGAATGTATGGATAATTGAACTCACCTGGATGGCATTTAAGGAGGAGAACTGGTGAGAGGAAGGTCTTCGGCTGAGTGAACGTGACGGGCTTTTCGCGCTCAGGGGAAGATGGGGACGCTTTGTGTTGCTCGAGACCATTAGGGTTTGTCCGGCAACGAAGATAGCTAGATAGATTGAATTTGTGTAGTTAGATAACGCTGGGGAGGGTTTAGGAGCGCTGACCATATGTTCCAAGAGCGTTTCAAAGGGACTGTATTGCGCAAAGAGGACTCATCAGTATTACAGATACTGTGATTCCCAAGGAGAAGTGTGCTGTGTACCAAAGACTAATTACTACCAGTGACGTTGTGATTAATTGCCGTAACTGCGGGGACGAGAATAAAGCGAAGAAGAGCGCGTGCTTTCTTTGAAGATATTGATCCGGCACGGCTGATTCCTTTCCCTAGACCCCGGGGTGGGGTCTTGTGTCCTGGAAACGGGGAAGTGTTTTACATTTTAAGTCTCTTCACGTGTTGTGTGTATGTGTGAGTGTGTATGTTAGTTGTGATTTGATTTTTGTATCCGTTGCGAAAAATTATCTACAATTCTATCAGTCGGAGATTTACTAATTAAAATACCTAAATATCTTACAGAGTTTTTGACCTCAATACCTTCTATTTGATCTTTGTCCAGACTGTGAACGGGCATAATTTCACTCTTATTTCGATTGACTGAGAGACCAGAAGCATTAGAAAATAAATTCAAAGCATCCAAAATAACAGGAACCTGCTTCTCATCTTTTAAAAACAGACCGGTGTCATCCGCCTGAATAGGAGGAACTCTAGAAACCAAAGCGTTTATGTTCGTCGATTCTTTCCGCATTTAGGGACTCTACTACGACCTGCTGCCCCCTATTGGACTGGAGGACGACTCTTTCTCTGTCTATACTGTGTGTGTGTGTGTATATATATATATATATATATATATAATGTATTATATAATATTTAATCGATGTGTGTGTGTGTGTATATATGGTACATTATTATAATATATATATATATA